GAGTGTGTGTGTGTGTGTGTGTGTCTGTGTGTAGTGAAGTACCATCCCTTGGAGCAGGGTAACTGAGAGGCCCCCTGATCGTGTAAAGCAGACGATGGAGGCTGAATGGAGGTTGGTTGTTGGAGGCTCCGCCCCCTTGGGCCTGTGACTGTTTCCAGCTGAAGTGTGTTGCATTAATGCACGGCGTGTGGAGCGAGCTCACAGCTAATCCACGCTGTAATCGATCTGCAGGGCTCAGATTTGGGCGGCACGGTGACACGTCTGTTAAGCTCTGTGAAATCCTGATGTCATGGCGCCTGAAATCGGCTCTTTGTGTTCTCCTCTCATTTGATGCACGCCGGGAACACGAGGGGAAGCTCGCCAAGCAGCTCCTGGCTCCGGTACAGATCTGCTTCCTATGATTTTGGAGGTGCTGGAAAGAGCCACGAGTGGCTGTTACATCCTCCATGCCTCAAACACAGATACACAAAGAGAAGCGTTTGGCATCGAGCTTCCTGCAGTCTGTGAGCGACAGGACTGGACTGATGTGAGCTTCATCTCTGCTCATCTTCATCATTACAAACAGACTGTAGATGATGATGACGACACGACTGAGCAAGGCTCTGGAGAAAGACTGTTTTTATAATGTTGTATATCTGTTGGTGGACCGCAGACACACCATGTGACGTGAATCATGAAAGCTGTCACATGAGGTAAAAGACTCCATGTGATGAAGCTGCATGCAGAGGACTGACAGCCACAGAGCTCTGATTAAATGAAAGGCTGCAAACGTGAGCAGACACTCAGCACTGAGTCAGCCTGTCGCATGATTGGCTGGCAGCAAGAGAGCTTCAGAGGAACGTTAGCGTGGTTCTGAAGGGTGACCGTACTTACATTTTTACAGAGTGAAAATCTGCTGCGACGGACAGGTGAGGCCTCTGGATGCTCAAGTGACAGCAGCAAAGCAAACAGGAAGTCAGGAGGCGGGGGTGCACCCCCTCAGACGTCCTGCAACAGCAAAACGATAAAGTTTAAAAGGACCAAAACATTTGTGCTTCAAGCTTTGAGCAAACATGACGAGCTGCTTTTAACAGTCTCTGTGGTGTTTTGATTGCAGACGCCTCATCAGGACGGACCTCTGGCTGTGTACCATGGACCAGCCCAACACATCAACCAATCACAAGAGAGGACAGTGAACCACAGCTTGATGACCAATCAGTGCAGCTCGCTGCATGAAGACATCCTGACATTAAAATTATTGCCAGCTTGGAATAAAAACACCATTAAAAAATACTTTCCTGAAACCTGAAGGTCAACACACAAAGTACCTGCAACACACCAACAACATGCCTGCAACACAACTGAAACACACGAGCAACATGTCGACAACACACTTGTAATACACCTCCAACACATGTTGAACACACCAACAACACATGTGCAACACGACTGAAACAACCCAGGAACACGCCTGCAACACATGTTAATCAAACCACCAACATGCCAACAACACCCCTGCAACACACCTCTAACATGACTCCAACACAAGTGAAACACACCTGCAACACACCTGTCACACGCCTGTCACACGACTGAAACACCCCAGAAACACGCCTGAAACATGACTGTAACACGCCTGCAACACCCCTGCAACACACCTCTAACATGACTCCAACACAAGTGAAACACACCTGTCACATGACTGAAACACCCCAGAAACACGCCTGCAACACGCCTGAAACACGCCTGAAACACGCCTGAAACACGCCTGCAACACATCACCTTTTAGCTGAATCAGTGCAGTACTCACTAGCAAGAAAGCAATGTATTTATAAAGCACTTTCAGGTGCTGTACACTTGATACATTAAACAAGTTAAAAAAAGAAATAATATAAATAGAGGAAACATATTTAAAAAAAATAAGATGATAATTCAAATAATATTTAAAACAGTAGAATTGGCACAAATAGCAAAAGCAATAATAAAATAGTATAAAATGATAATTAGAATTACATTTAAAACAATAAAATCAGGGTCAGACTGTGTCAAAAGCCAAGGAGTAAAAATGGGTTTTAAGAAAAGTGGACAGTGAGGGGGCCTCTCTAATGTGCTGGGGCAGAGAAGGCCCCGCCCCCGCTGAGCTTCCTCTTGGACCTGGGTACCTCCAGGAGCAGCTTGTCAGCTGGCCTGAGAGACCTGGGGGGTGGGTAAGGACGAAGAAGCTCAGAGAGGTAAATTGGGGCAAGACTGTTTAAGCCTGGGGTGCCAAACGTACGGCCCGCGGGCCGGATCAGGCCCACAAACGGGTTTAATCTGGCCCGTGAGATGATTTTGTAAAGTATAAAAATGAGCAGCAATTTTTCAATAAAGAAACTGCTGTTCCAATTGTGTCCATTGGATGGCGCAATAGCAATTGTGAGCTACTTTGTTTTGCCCGCGAAATTTAAACCCGATGTGCTTTGGCACCCTCATTGGCCCAATATGTCTCTGTCAAAAAGAGAAAAGTGGATGCAGAGTGCAGAGTGTTCCAAGAAAAAATGGTCATCCTATTTATTCCCAGCATGTTGCAGTGCTGAAAGAATATAACCTCCGTCGCCACTACGTGAGTCTTCATGCCGACAAATATGACAACTTTCAAGGACAGCGGAGAAGAGAGAAGGTGAATGAACTGTTGGCGGGTCTGAAGAAACTGCAGTCTGTGTTTACTCACAGCCGAGACAAAACTGGACTTGACAGTAGCCCTAATTTGACTGTCTAATTTAAAATCACTGTCCATCTTAAAACCCAGGTTAGTAACAACAGGTTTAAAATACACAAGGTCCACTAGGACCAAACAGAATCACCTCAGTTTTGCTTGAATTACATCTTAGAAAGTTTAGGGACATCCGAGATTTAATGTCTTCTACAGATGCTAGAAGTGGCTTAATAGAGAAGGCATCGTTCTGCTTCAGAGGCAGATCAATCTGACAGTCGTCAGCATAGCAGTGGAAGGGTAATCCATGCCTTCTGAGGATGGTTCCCAGGGGCTGTAAATATAATGAAAAAAGCAGAGGCCTTAAAATTGAGCCCTGTGGGACCCCAGACTGAAAGGCAGCAGAGGAAGACTCATACCCTGAAAGGTTAACACTAAAAGTTCTGTCAAAAAGATAAGACCTAAACCATTTCAAAGCAGTACCACGAATGCCTGCAAGATGGTGCAAGCGAGTCAGTAAAATGTTGTGGTCTACAGTGTCAAAGGCAGCTGTTAGGTCAAGAACAACACGATTACCAGAGTCACAGGAAAGGAGGATATCATTAAAAACCTTTAAGAGTGCTGACTCCGTGCTATGAACGTTTTTAAAACCTGATTGGAAGACCTCTGGGACACCACTCTCCTTTGGTTGCAACCTTCTCAATGAAAAACACATAAAATCATCAGAGAGGCCTCCAAGCAGCCACTTTGTGGAGCATTTAAGACTGAGTCAGTAGAGTTAAATAACACGTGGATTGTGACTGTTGGAGGAAATGATCTTAGAGAAATATTTTCTTTTAGCCTCTTTGACCGTATCCTGATAGAGGCGCCAGCAGTCCTTTAGGATTTGAAGAGACACCTGCAGTTTGTTCCTCTTCCATCTGCGTTCAGCTCTACGACACTCCCTCCTCACAGCCCGAGTGGCGTCGTTAAACCAAGGGTCCGTTTTAGCCTTGGGCTGCCTGGTTATTAATGGTGCCACAGAGTCCAGAGTGGTTAGGCAGTACGATCAGCGGGGAACTGGGCAGCAGTGGAAGGGTTAATAATCCGACAGCGGCGAACAGGAGCGCTGGTTTGAACTGTAGTGCGTGAAAACGCAGCATCAAATAATACAGCCATATGGTCAGAGAAGGCAGTGTCAGTCACTTCCATGTTAGACACAGGTAGACTGTGCGACAGGACCAGGTCCAGTGTGTGTCCGTGTTCATGTGTGGGACCAGGTACGGGCTGGACCGGATTAAAAGAATCAATGAGGCTTAAAAACTCCTTCACCTGAGGTTTGTCAGGGCAGCAGACATGGATATTAAAACCCCCACAATAAGAACGTAGTGGGCATATGATTAATGGTGCTGCGTGTGGCGGGCTTTAAGGCTCAGCTCAGATTTAGACAGAGGAAGATGAAGACAGAGGCCGAGAGCTACAGCAGAGTTCAGCCTCACACTGTTTTTGTCCAGATTTGGATTTTAAAGGATTTGATTCTAGGACATTCCCAGCTGGAGTTTGTGCTCTAAAGGAATGCAGTCAGGGTTTAAGAGGGAAGTTTGAAGGCAAACTCAGGACGCAGTAACACGATTAAAGGAAGCTCCTCGTGTAAAACAAAGAGGCTCCCCTGGTGCCGCTCAGCGAGCATCTGCAGCTGATTGGATTTGTTCAGGATCGATTCTCTGGAGGATTCTGCTCTCGGCTGGTGGCACGAGTCCAGATCGAAGGAAATCTTATCAGCTGCCATTAGGCCCGAGGCCCATCGCTCGGCTCATTTCGTTCACAGAGAAATAAAACAGTGAGGCAGGAGGAGGAGCTCCCTGTGGATGAACAGAGCTGGTTTCTCAGGAAGAGGAACTCAGTAGCCTGAGCACAGCAAGCGACTGCCTGCTCACAAAGAAAAGTGTCCGTGCTTGTTAGCAGAAGTTCTGCACGAGCTAACTTCACCTAACGAGCTAATAGGAGCCATTAGTGGGCTCCAATTAGAGGAATCCCTCCTAACGAGGTCAGACAGATCAATAGCACAGGGAGAGGAGTCGCGTATCAACACCTCTGCAGGCTTTCAGCCTCACTCCTAGCCTGCTGGTTACCACGGTTACCAACACGACCTCTGACACTGACGGTGATCAACAATTCCTCGCAGCTCGTTGTCCCATCTGTGCAGCGAAGTCATCTTTAACATCACGCAGTCTGAAACCTGTAGCTCCACCGGGCGTGGAGGAAGGTGAGGGAGGTGGGTCATGTGACACAGACAGAAACAGACTGAGCCAGTCAGACCTCAGCGCACACGCCCAGACTGGGGTCAGAGGCCATTAGGTCACTACACGATGGTCACTCGTGTAGAACACCTCAGACAGAGGCTGCTGCACCAAAAGCTTCACTGTGATTGCTCTGGTTCGAGCAGGTTGCCTTGGTCACCGGCAGTCAGCGAGGAAGGCGACTTCTCTGCATCTCCACGTATCTCTGACCTGCGACCCATCAGTTACCATAGCAACCTCACAGTGGGTGTCAGTGCAGTACTGTACGCCTGTTATAGCACACGAGTAACCATCGCGAACCTCCACCGACCACCCACCAGCGGTTGGAGAACATCTGTGAGGCTGTGGCACCGCTTCAGGAGAAGTGTTGGCACAAAGGAGCCTGCTGAACGTTAGTCCCCGCCCCCGCCACGGCCCGTGACCTCAGCGCTAACAGCGAGAAGAACAGCTCGACTGGCCTCCTCGTTCACACACTTCGCCTGCCTTTACACCACCTAGCTGTCCATCTATCCAGTCATCCACCTATCCGTCCATTCATCGACACATCCACCCAGACATCCACTGCGAGCTCGCTGAGATCTTCTGATGTACACTTCAAACAGACTGATCAATAATCTATACCTGCTGCTGTAAACAGGCTCTCTGATTGGCTGCGGTCAGTGTCCTCTGAGCTTTGTTTTCATGTTTGCTGCTTTGTTCCAGTTTCAGTCGTTCAGCAGATTAATCCTCTCAGCAACAAATCTGATCCTCATCATCCTCATCCCCATCTCACACACGCACACACACACAGACACACACACACACAGACACACACAGACACACACGCCTGTCCGACTCTAATCCCACATGTGATCGTTTGCTGAGGTTAATCCTCGCGTCTGCCTCTGCCGTCCACTCTGATGGATTTACTTTCATCCCTGCGTTGACATCTCATTACTTCCTCATGCTCCTCCTCTAAGTCCCGCCTCTCTCCTGATGACATCGGTACCGTTTTACTATGGCGCTCAGGTGAGTTTTTAACGCGGGGCACGTTTAGC